TAATTGTATTATCCACCTAATATTAAAAATATTTTTGTAGTTTCTAATATATTATATAAGTCTCATTATTTTTTTATTGCATAATACTAATAAAAATATTTTTGTCATTTTTTATATTTATACTGCATATCAATATAATACTAATATTAAAAAATTGATATGTAAAATGCAATGAGATACTTTTTTTTTCAAGAGGTAAGTAATATCAAATATCTATTTATATCGCATTAATTATTATTTTAATTCAATTTTTAATGTTTCAAACTCTAAGAATTAATTATAAACCTTCGAGGAACTTTCAATCAATATTTAGCGGGTTTGTTTTAAGATAAATTGAAGATGTATTTTATTTTATTTTTTTTTAAATCGAGGTATAGAGAATTATATAAAGAAATATAAAAATAATGAATAATGTATGATATATTAATATTTTTAAAAAAATATATATTTATTTTTGTTGTTAAAATAACACATAGTAATAAAATACATTAAAAAGATAGGATTACAAAGTAAGAATAAATTTAATAGCTATAAAAAACAATATTTCAAAAAAATGTTTCAAATATGATAATTTTACTTTTTTATATATAAAAAATTGATAAATAATGTGAAAATTATTTTGAAAAATAAAAAATAAAAATAGAGCGTTATTATCAGAAGACAAAGTTGTATTTTTTATACTCTCTCCGTCCCATATACCGTGTCTGCTACACTGTCTACACGGTATTTTAGGAGATGTATAATTAGTAGATAATTAAGAATGTATTAGTGAAAATAATTATTCTATAATATAAATAATTATAAATTAAGATTAAGATAGCTAATTAGTTTAATTAAATTTTAAAAAAATAAATTTAAAAATTTAAAATGAGATTAAAGTGTGTAATCATTTTCCATAAAAAGAAAAGTAACATGGAATATAGGACACACAGAAACGACAATATGTACATAATATGCGGGACAGAGGGAATATTAAATAACAGTAATTGAAAATTAAAAAAAAAAAAACAAGATTTAACAAAAATATAATACAATTTCTACTTTGCATATACTTATTACTTCCAATCATTATTTAATACAAAAGTCAAATTAAAAAATAAAAATAAAAATAAAAAACAAACAAAAAACACAAAAAACTCAACGAAACAAGTATTTAATTAATTTGTCCAAGTTTATTGTCATTTTATAAAATTGAAATATTTGGATAAACATGTTATTGTGTGTATATATATATATTATTTTAGAAATAATATATAATAAATCCAAACATGCATTGAATGTTCGCCAACACAACAAATACGTATGGGCCTTAACTATTTTATTCCAAATATTTATACCAATTTAGGCAATAAAATTATTCCATTCTAAGATTATTCTTATTTAAGTGTATCTTTACTACAAACTCATTTTTTTTTAATTTCATTTTATTTATATTTATTTGAGGCATCATTACTTGCAATAATTATTCAATAAATTATACTCCCTCCGTCCCACATAATTTATTCATATTTTCTATTTTCGTCCGTCCTACATAACTTGTTCTTTATATTTTTTGAGTTATAATTATGCACTTTAATAGCATTTTAAATTTTAATTTTTATAATTTTTATAATTTTAATTAAACTATTTCTTTATCTTAATCTTAATCTATAATTATTTTTACTAATAACTTCTTAATTACTTATTAATTATACTTTATCTAAATTCTCGTGTCTACAGTAATACACCCATGGGACGGATGGAGTATACCAACGTAACTATTTTTTTAAGTTAACAAAGGTTTTTGTTAATTTTTTGTTTTTGGGTGGATATATATAGTTTTTTTTTCTTGTTTTCTTATATATATGAGGTGCAATAATTATATTAAAAATTATGAGTTTATTTGTTTAGTATTTTAGTTTGAGATATTTTTATTATTTTTTGTCTGTCCATTTAAAAATATCGTTTTCTATTATAGTATCACACATTAATATCAAAATAAAGATGTTGGATCACAATCCGATCGATTAGCAAATGTCATAAAGGTGAATAACATTAATTTCCACATAATACAACATATGCGCATATGTTGGGTTATAAAATATTGTATTCTATGTTATAACATAACCTATGTTGATTAGGTTGACCGGATAAGCATGAGATCTGTGCTTTCAAAATAATTTTTTATTTTTATATAAATTACAAACTTATATTACGCACATATATATATATAATATAAAGGATAAAAATGTCAAAATTATTTTACACGTCTAAACTAACCAATAAAATACTATTATTTTATTTTTCATTTTTCAATATATTATAAAAATTCAAATGGATACTTTCATCCGAAACTGAAAACATAATAATTTGTGTTGAATTGTTTACTTTTGTAACAAAAAAAATATAAATATTATATATAAAAAAAATCGTGTAAAAAAAAATTAATTGAGTGAACAAATTTAATATTTAATGTTGAATAGTTAATTTTTTGGTTAATTGATAAAGTGTATAAATTCAATATTTTGCACATTTTATATTTTTTAATATTTTATCTCACTTAAAGTGTTCATCATTTATTAATATATTTATTAATTATAATATTTTAAAAATTTTTGAATGTACATTTTTATTTGGACGGTATAATTAATTTTTGTGAAAAATCGTATAATTAAAAATACTTAATAAATAAATCCAAAATAGTAACAAGATTCAACCAAATATACACATGAATCAATAAAAAAAATTGTATTATTAAAAAAATCTAAAACACTTGACGTTTATAATACAATTCAATAAATACGTTGTAATTTAATTAGATTACAAATTTTAATTAATCAAATACTAGAAGTCTTTTTGGTTAGTGATATTTTTTTTAATAAAAATTTAATTTAAATATAATACTATATATAATAATATATTTTTTCAAGTAAGTAAAACTTTGAAGAATATAAATTTTAAAAAATAACTAAAAGAACTTATTTTATAAAAAATAAAGACCATCTAAATGAATTAATGTCAATAATATAAAATTTTTTTATTGAGTTAATTATTATTTTCTTCCTTACAGATACCATGTCTACGTTGTCGTTTCTGTCCGTCTCACATACCATGTCACTTTCCTTTTTTGAAAAATGTTTACACACTTTAATTTCATTTTAAATTTTATTTTTAATTTTAATTAAACTAATTAGTTATCTTAATCTTAATTTATAATTATTTATATTATATGATAATTATTTTCACTAATACATTCTTAATTATCTACTAATTACACCCCTCTTGTCTATGGCAGACACGGTATCTGAGACGGAGGGAGTATTTGATAACATTATGCTATCGAATGATTCATGATTATTATATATTATCTTATTATATTATCACTGTATATGTTACCTCAATTATTTATTTTATCGTGACCCAATAAATCAGAATAAATTCAGTTGTAACATATCATATTGAGTTTTATACTCCATCTGTCATTTATCTATTTATTTTTTTTATTTTATATGTTTTGATTGTATAGTATAAAGATTGTATGAATATTAAATTTACCCCTAAAAATAGACAAAATAATTAAATAATAATATAAATGATTTTTTATGATAATATACTCAATTGTAAATTTTTTATTAATAATAATTAAATTTTATAGGTTGTATGAAAAATTATATTCCTAATATAAAAAATAATATTTTGTATTAAATTGCTAATTTTTATTAATAATAATTAAATTTTATAGGTGGTATGAAAAATTATATTGCTAATATAAAAATAATATTTTGTATTAAATTGCTAATTTTTGTGAATAAATAATATATATAAGTATATATTGTATTAATATGTATATGTATATTAGTATCTTTTAATAATATTTATAAATTATTGTTCCGTTCAAAAATATTATATAAACAAACTCATTGATTATGAATAAAAGAAGTATATAATTTAATAGTAATAATAATACTCCCTCCGTCCCAAAATGTTATCTTATTTTTTTATTTTCGTCCGTTTCAAAACAATTTATTTATTTTTTTATTTAGTAAATGTGGTCCTTATTTTATAACAAAATTATTCATAATTTTTCAAACTATCCTTAATTATTACTCTAATCTAACTTTTTAAAATCCTTCGAAAAGTAAGGACATTTTAGTCTTTTACATTCTACTTTATACTCACTTTTAATTAAATACTACTCCCTCCGTCCCAGATACTATTTCCACGTTGCCGTTTATGTCCGTCTTACATACCATGTCACTTTTCTTTTTTGGAAAATGATTACACACTTTAATCTCATTTTAAAATTTTAATTTTTTAAATTTTAATTAAACTAATTAGTTATCTTAATCTTAATTTATAATTATTTATATTATAGGATAATTATTTTCACTAATACATTCTTAATTATCTACTAATTACATCCCTCTTAAAATACCTTAAAATACCGTGTCTACAATGTAGCAGTATCTGGGACGGGACGGAGGGAGTATTATTCCTTAATTTTCGTGGCAGCACCCAAGACGTCTCTTTTGGGACGGAGGGAGTAGATTTTTTAAAAATAGATTTATTTTTTTTTAGAATTTGAATTTTCAAAAATTTAAAATAACAACAAAAATTAATTTTTGATAATACATTTTATATTAAAAACTAATATTATTTAATATATATGTTTGTATATAGAAATTATTGGTAATAAATACTTGCCAAAACTTTAGAAATAAGCACGTGAACAGTGGCAAAAATAATCAGCAAAATTTGCGGATATAAATTATCTCACGCAATTAAAAAAAGGGAATAATTTCTCTTGTAATAAAAACAAAAATGACAATGTCGACCAGATTCCTTTTCTTAATTGAAAGCGTTGACTATAAGTGGCCCACAGAGTCAAACGCCGTATGTACGTGGCGCAATCTGAGCCGCAGATGTACCAATCAAGTGACATCGACGGCTAGAGATAGGCGGAGTAAATTACAAAGAAGTACCCGCGTCGCAGAGAATCACTACCGCCCAAAATGATCTATATTTAAGGAGTGCCCGCCCTTCCTAAAATTCTCGCAGAAGGCTAATAGCCGTTCAGAGTTTCTCTTCTCATTCGCTCTGTAAATTAACAGGTAAAAAGCTCTTAATCTTCGATTGTGATGCGATTATCAAATTATGCATTTGTAGGCGGTGATTGCGGCAGTTCATTGATGGTGTTTCTTTGATGATATTGTGGAGTACAGGTTGAGCAGAAAGGGGATTGGTTGTGACCGGTGGTGAAATCGAGAGGGAAGTCGGTGGAAGAAATGGCCGGGGTAGAGGCTGGGCGAAGGGATTATGACGCCGGAGCGAAATCAGGCGAAGTCGGAAAGGTTGTTTCCGACGATCACATGCCTGTTCAGATACCGGACACCGCACATCAGATTAGCAATGGTTTCGTTTTCTATTTACGCTGATTTTGACGTTTTTAGGTTTTTTTTGTTTTCGGAAGTTTCATTTTCCGTTTGTGCGAGTTCATTTGGTTTGTTCGGTTTGGTTTGTGCAATTCCGTGGATATTTGTTTGGTCTCGTTTGGTGGATGAGTTTGTCGGTGGTGTTTGGGAGAGTGTGTTCAGATTCGATTATTCTGTTTTTAACCGTGATTGTTTTCGATAAGTTCTTCGATTAGACTGAGCGTTATGGAGCTGAGGAGTTAATTTCCATGTCAACCACTTTGTTGCCATTAACAGAGTAGATTTATCGATTCATGATCTGTGCTCTACGTTTCTGCAAAACTTTTTCTGAACTATGCGAACAAATTTGCTCTTGAGGATGTGTTATTTGCTAAAATAGAACTTTAACTTCCAGAATTTAGCATCCTTAATGCCTGAGATGTTCTTACTTCGATGTTCTACTTCTGTTAGATATAGGAGAGAAAGATCCTACTTCTTTAGTAGTTAAAACATGTTTTTGTTGCAATTCAAATACAGATTCATGGTTTCAAGTGGCGTTTGTTCTTACAACGGGGGTAAATAGTGCCTACGTTCTCGGGTATCCCGGCACTGTCATGGTTCCATTGGGTTGGGTAGGCGGCGCAATTGGGCTTGTTCTAGCAACTTTAGTGTCTTTATATGCAAACATGCTAGTAGCCAAGCTCCATGAACATGGAGGAAAGAGGCATATCCGATACAGGGACCTTGCAGGGTACATATACGGTGAGATAAAACGATTATATACTGTAGTGAATAATGTTCTGGATATAACTAACATGTCGAATGACCTGTGGGGTGGTGTGATGCAGGTGGAAAAGCCTACCATATTACCTGGGGACTGCAGTATGTGAATCTTTATTTGATCAATGTTGGATTTATCATTTTAGCTGGACATTCACTAAAGGTAATACATTGCTGTTCAACCTCCTTTGTTGTTCCAGAAACCTTCCCAGGTTTGCCTATGGTCTGAACTCATCTACACAGCCTGTTTTTATTTAACCTTCCATTGGATCATTTTGTAGCCATCCATGGAAATTTCTTTTGTGACAGGTATATGCATATAAATATACGTATACGTATACATATCCATATACTTATCTGTTGCAGCTACCATTATAATTTATATACTCTGCCTTTTTTAAAATGTTAGCTTGATGATCTTTGCTACAAATCTATGGAGATTATATGATAATTTACATTTTTTAGTTTGGTATAAGTTTCAAGGCTTTTAAACTCATTCCTGTGATGCTGCTGCTTATTACACAGGCTGTTTATTCCCTTTTCCGACAAGACAATGAACTGAAGCTTCCATACTTCATCGCAATCGCTGGAGTCGCTTGTGGTTTGTTTGCCATTTCAATTCCTCATTTGTCCGCTATGCGCATTTGGCTGGGATTTTCGACGCTTTTTAGCCTGCTTTACATTGTTATTGGATTTGCTCTATCCATGAAAAATGGTATTATCCTTCTCCAGGTTAAATCTAACTCTTTGTATAATCTTCGCCCGCGTAGCTAATGATTATCGGTTAATTTCATAGGTATCGAAACTCCCCCGAGAGATTACACCATTCATGGTTCGAAATCCGACAAGATTTTCTCCTCTATCGGTGCAACTGCTAATCTTGTCTTCTCCTTCAACACTGGAATGCTTCCAGAAATTCAGGTCCCCTTATATATATATATATACACATAACTTTTTACGGGATTTGTTCATCGTTTGTTCATATTCTTGACAGGCGACGGTGAGGCAACCGGTGGTCGGGAACACGCTAAAGGCGCTCTACTTTCAGTTCTCAGCCGGGGTTGTGCCGATGTATGCAATAATCTTCGCCGGCTACTGGGCATACGGATCAAACACGTCCGAATACTTGCTCAAGGACCTCCATGGTCCGATCTGGCTGAAGACCGTGGCGAACATCGCCGCGTTCTTACAATCCGTCATCTCATTACACGTAAGCTCCGTCGTCATCCCCTCTCCCGACCATCATCACCATTACTACGCTCACTAGGGGTGTCAATTCGTATTTTCGGGTCGTGTTCGTGTCGGGTTGAGCTATGAGAGTAAAAAAAATTGTCAAACCCGAACCCGACCCGAACTGAACCCGAGATTTGAGCTGAAACTCTAGACTCGAATAGGACACGACACAAATTTTTTCAGGTCGGGTGCAGATTGACCTGAATTAGTTTCAGGTCACCTCAAACCCGAACAAAAACGACATGAACCCGAAAACTTAAAAAAATTAAATTAATATAAAAATTCATTTTTATTTTTATTTTTAATAATATAAATATTAAAAATTAAAATAATATAATAAATAATTTCAGGTAAACTCGAAATACGAAATCTGAAACCTCATTTGATATTTATAGTTTAGGTTATCAGGTCAATTTGAAACTTGATTCGAATACGGCAAAATATTTTTCGTTTTGGATTCGAGTTGATCCAATTTTTTACAAACCTGAAATACGCAGACCTGAACCTGAAAAATTTTAGGTCGAACGGGTTCGATTTTTCGGATCGGGTTTAGTTTTTACACCCCTAACGCTCACCGTGCTCTTGTTTTGTCAGATTTTCGCTAGCCCGATGTACGAGTACCTCGACACCCGATTCGAAATCAAGGGCAGCGCTCTCGCCGTACGCAACCTGACGTTCCGTGTTTTGGTCAGGGGCGGGTACATCGCCGTCACCGCATTCGTCTCCGCCATGCTGCCGTTCCTCGGCGATTTCATGACGTTGACGGGTGCGATCAGTACGTTCCCGTTAACGTTCATTCTCGCGAACCACATGTACCTCGTCGCGAAAGGCGACAAGCTCTCGCCGGTCCAGAAGACCTGGCACTGGCTTAACGTCATCTTCTTCGGTTCTCTGGCGGCTGCGACTGCCGTCGCCGCTGTCAGAGAGATCGGAAAAGATTCGCGGACGTTTAATCTTTTCGCCGATATATAAGTTTGTTTAGCGTTTCGGAGTTTTAGATCGGTTCAGGATAATAACTGATAGGGAAAATTGAAGGGAAGTATTTATTGCATAACACTTATCCATTGTAAAGCAGAGGGCAACAAATGCAGCTGCTGTATTCTTATAATGTCTCCTTTCTGACCTTGTAATGTTTCTGTTCTCTCCGAAGAACCACAGCTTTTCGACTCGCGAAAAATGGTTCGTTTGATCGTTCGACTGATCGATCGATCTCTGTGCTGCGCCGATCTATAGTTTTTGTCGTGCGCAGCGCGCTGTCTGTGTGTCGAATATTCGTCGAAACTCGGCGTAGAGTGTCTGCTTGTGTTCGTTATAGATTTGCTTGCAGGAAGAATGGAGTTGGTCTGAATCTGGGACACCATGAATTGAGCAGGTTCAAGAAATATATGTAATAAATTTGGTTGTGTTATTTTTTGAATTTGTGTGGATTTAGTATGGAAGATTCGATATATTTGTCGGAATATTACCTTAGTATCGACGTTAAATTGTTTATCTTCTTTGATCTTGATGGATTAAGTCTTTTTTACTAATGATTTCTTCAACTCGAGTTTGGCTTACCTATGAAGGTGGATTCATGCTGATCGGGTCAATTCATTATGATGTTTAATTAACATAACCGTATATTTCTTTCGTCTTTTAACAATTTATTATAAACAATGTAAATTTCTTACATAACTAAGGGCTTTTTAATTTATGTAATAATTCTGTATCGTGCTCGAGTTTTTCTTTTTTTTTTTTGTTTTTTTATGTTACAGTAAAATGGGACACAATAGAATAGATTGCACATACGGATTAAACCAAAGCAACAAATTTGACCAAATAAAATATAATTAAATACAAAGCCAAACTCCACCAATGTCCTTACTAATACACCGCCGCCGGCGGCGGCGGTGGCGGCTTGTCCTCGAAATGAGGAGGCGCTTTCATCACCGGCGACGGCGGCCGCGGAAGCGGCAGCCGTGAAGTCTTAAAATGAGGCGGCTTTTGGTACTCCGGCGACGGCGGCTTCCTCCAAGCCTCACTTCGTTTCTCATGATTTGGTGGCGGTGCCGGAGGCACACCACCACCATTAAACCTCCGCCTCCGCCGCCTTCGCGCCGCCCTTCCACGGCGGCGACCATAGCCGAGTTTTGTAGCAGCATGACTGCAGCAGCTCCAAGGAAGAAGAGATACACGGCTGCCTTCATTCCCATTCTTCTTTTTTTTTTCAAAATTTTTGAGAAGTACTGCAAAATTCAGAGTATTTATAAATGGTTTGGGCTCTGGTATTCAGAGATATAGAAATTTTTTATAAATAATTAAAGAATTAAAATAATTGATACGATAGTTTGTAAAGATAAATATATATTTGACTTGTCATAAAATATATATATATTTGACTTAATAATTTTTTAGGATTGACAAAATAGTATTCCCTCAGTACAAAACCAATCGATTTGTTTTTGCAATTTTAATATATTTATAATGACATATTTTATTTTATTTTATTTTTTTTTATTGTAGCATTATATTTATACATAATTTATCTACGGTAAATAATTTTATTTACTTACAATTTCATTATTCATATTTTAATAAATAATAAATGATTTGCCATTATTTTTTCTATTTTATCACACTATTTTTTTAATAACTCCAATCTTCAAGTAGGAAGTTTTATTATATTAACATAATTTAATTATATTACAAAATATTTTTAGAGATAAAAATTGTATATTCATCTCTTTTATTATATCAAATTTGTAATACTAATATTCTACCATTTATTTGAAAAAAAAAAAAAAAAAAAAAAAGATATATAGATACATTTATACTAACCGGGTAAGTATAAACTTCTTAAGTCATGCATATAGACAATGTACCACGATTTGAGCGTTGAATTTGCAGAGTGGGAAAGTCAAGTGATTGAAATTTTGTGATAAAACATGTGACCTTTTTTGTTTGTTTACATATAAAATAAAATAAAATCATTATTGAATACAATATTTTTAATAAATATATATATATATATATAAGTCTGTTACGTACGAAATTTAGAATTAGGTTAAAAGCCCAAGGTAAAAAGAAGAATGGGCCTGGCAATAGAGTTGATTGAACTGACTGAAGGGCACCATGAGGAAATCAAGGAAAATAGGTTTATTACTAAGGAAAGTCCTCAGGTCGGAAGGTCTTCAGGTCGGTAGGTCCTCAAGACGGAAAGTCATTAGGACGGAAGGACCTCAGGTCGGTAGGTCCTCAAGACGGAAGGACCTCAGGTCGGAAGGTCTTCAGGTCGGTAGGTCCTCAAGACGGAAAGTCATTAGGACGGAAGGACCTCAGGTCGGTAGGTCCTCAAGACGGAAAGACCTCAAGTCGGAAGGTTTTCAGGTCGGGAAGTCCTCAAGGCGGAAAGACCTCAAGTCGGAAGGTTTTCAGGTCGGGAAGTCCTCAAGGCGGAAAGACCTCAAGTCGGAAGGTTTTCAGGTCGGGAGGTCCTCAAGACGGAAAGACCTCAAGTCGGAAGGTTTTCAGGTCGGGAAGTCCTCAAGACGGAAAGACCTCAAGTCGGAAGGTTTTCAGGTCGGGAAGTCCTCAAGGCGGAAAGACCTCAAGTCGGAAGGTTTTCAGGTCGGGAAGTCCTCAAGGCGGAAAGACCTCAAGTCGGAAGGTTTTCAGGTCGGGAAGTCCTCAAGGCGGAAAGACCTCAAGCCAGATGGTTCGCAAGTCGGGAGGATTGGCGGTCGGACCCATACTATTGTAGATTGGCAGTCGGGCCAAAAGAGCGGAAGGTCTGTGGTCGGCTCAAAGAGTGAAATATAGGGATAATTTTGGTCTGCTGGGGACGCGTGTCAGCATGAGAAGGGTTGGAAGACGGTTGGGAAGGAGACGTTGTAACCGTTCGGGTGACGGTTTTCGGTACGGTTTCCCAGAGAATATTTAAAGGCTTGGATAATCATTTGACAAGGCATCTTCAATCAACTTCAACAAAGCAAAGTCAGATTTGGGGATCACCACTTTAAATTTCAGTCTTTTATTTTCCAGTTTATTTTCTGTACCATACAGTGTTTAGAGATTCCTAATCTCAGGCACTAATTAATCAAGTTTAAGGATATTTTCTATATCTTTGAATTTTACTTTATTTTTGTTGAAAAATTACATCAACAAATTGGCGACCACAGTGGGAGCAAGACAAAATTGCTCATTCCAATTCCGGCGATAATTTCATACGTCTTAGATCCGGCCGAATCATCGGAAGGGTTATGGCAGGTTCACAACCGCAATCATCTTCGGCACCGGTGGGAGAATCCGTTCCACCACCTATTGTGCCAAATGCCGGGGAAATCCCACAACCACCAACGGATTGGTGGTCTTATGTTCAACAAATGAACAACCAGCACACTTTGGTTATGCAGAATATGTTGCGTGAGCAACAAACGAACATGTTGCGAGAGCAACAGAGTCTGATGCAGAACATGATAGATCAAGCATTGTCAAGGGTTAGTCTTAAACCCACTCAAACGCCACCAGGAGTGTCACCGTCCCGACTACAGGCAAATTTCGCAGGGCCATCATTCGTGGATAGTACATTCCCAAGTGCCACAAATCCCAACCGAACGGATAGGGGAAAATCTCCTTTGACTTTTCCCAACAATGTTCCACTGGGACCAAGGGTTACCAATCCGCAGCCGAACAATTCAAGGGAGGACAGGCCCGAAGGATATATACATGATCCTATTCATATTCCTGTGCAGGATCCGTTCCATGTTCCTGATCATCAACGCTTTCATGTAGATCCTGATGAGATTGCACATATATTAAGGGATCAGTATGGATTAACTCCTCAGATAGCTAACCGCCCTGCATATCAGAGACCTTTCCCAGAAAGGATCATTAATGAACACCCTCTCCCAAGGAATTTTCGACCACCCGATTTTCATGCATTCTCAGGGGAGGACGGATCTTCCACCATAGAACATGTTGGTCGGTTCACAGCACAATTAGGAGAAGTTGGCAATAACCCTTTTTATAAGTTACAGCTGTTTGGTTTATCTCTTACTAGAACGGCGTTTTCGTGGTTTGTAAGTCTGCCTCCTGGACAAATTCAGACATGGGAAGGACTGGAGATGGCATTTCACGCTAGATTCTTCAATCCTTTACCAGTTGTTTCTTTAACTGATTTACTAGAATTGAGACAGTTTCCAGAAGAATCTGCTTCACAGTTTATTGAAAGGGTGCGATTGATGAAAGGACGATGTCCTACGGTAATCAGTGAGAAAGAGATGACCAATTTAGTGGTCCGGAATATGCATACTCGTTTAAGAAAGGCACTCACTGCCCTGGATGTGGAGGATTTGGCAAGTCTTGCATCCAAGGCAGGACGTTTAGAGTCTTTGTTCAGAGAGGAAGATCAGCATAACAGGCGTAATAGAGGCCAACATATGGCGAGTATGGGAACAGAAACATGTGACTTTGATTTTAATCAATCAGAAGAGATGGCAGCCGAAATCCTTTCTGGAAAACCTTATGTATGCCCTAAATTGAAGCCAGTACCAGGATCTGAAGGAAAGGAGCAACCGACTTTTGATAGTTCGAAAGCTGATGAAATCTTTGATATCCTACTGACTGATGGGCAGATCCGTATTCCAAAGGGGCAAAGATTGGCCACTAAAGAAGAAATCAAAGGGAGACCATATTGTAAGTGGCATAATTCTTTCACACACAATACAAGTCAGTGTATTCATTTCAGAAAGGAAATTCAAAAGGCCATCAAGACAGGTCGGCTCAAATACATCACTCTAGGTGTAGACCAGCAACCGTTTCCGAAAGTAACAACGGCAATGGTTGACATCCAACCAAGTTCGGAAACAGGGAAAAGTTCGGCCAATAATGGGCAAACAGGGGAACGAACTCAGGCAAGCCCCGGAACAAAGAAAGGAAATCAGCCAAACAGCAGCCGACCGGAAGAACGATTCAAAGTTGTTGAAAGGCCAGTCGCTGAAAAATGGGACCATCCAGACGGTTCTTTTAACGTGGAGGTGAAAGAAAAGGTTTTAGTGCGTGACCACCCGACCAGAAAAACAGGGTCAGTCGGGAACAATTGGGCTCGAAATAAAAAGCCTTTACCAGTTGATATAGATCCTCGTTTCCCAGGTATGAATCGTACACAGATTCGCAATGCCAAACGCAGGTATGCTGCAAAGTATGGGAAACGAGTTCCTTCAGCAAAACAACTAACCGACGAACAAAAAGCAGTCGACCATTTGGCAGGAGATCAGTCCATTCGGGTCTTTACAGAACAAACGACCAACGAGCAGGGAGCAGCCATTCAGTCTCCAATTGGTCGGTCCAGTCGGGTCTGGTCAGGAAAGCAACCGAATGACGGATTAGGCGCTTCCGACCATACCAAAAGAAGTTCGTCGGGACAGGGGAAAGGTAAAGGAATGGCAGATGAAATAATTAAAGGTTTTAGATGCCAACATTGTGAACGGATCAACATCAATCCATCTCTTGAA